AAGGTAAGGACAACAGAATATTGAAGAGTCAGGAGTCTGATGGGAAGAAAGGAAGCAAGGAAGGCAGGCAGGCCTGGACCATTTCTCAAATATAAGTTCTAGGAAGAAGGGGGTGGGGGTGGGGAGGTATCAGATGTCTCCAGCAGTTCTGCCTTGCTCATTCTGGTTCTTTTTGTCACAAATCTAATGGCAAAAAGAGCAGCATACAACAAATGTCTCTTTTCAGCTGAACTTCAAAGAGAGCTTACTTTTTTTTAAAAAAAAGAGTTTCCTGTGTGCCCAGAACAGCTGCATCTTCAATGTGAAGTATGCTACCAAGATCTACCAAACTGGCTTGTAATGAACTATGCTGACATCCTTCATTCTCTCTAGATCTTCAGTTCCCAAACCTAACCCCATCCTACCACTCAGCAGTTCTTTGGCTTTGGGCCAGTCACTTAAGATGATGTTCTCAACGTTAGTTTAATAATTTGTAAAACGAGAGGACTGAACTAGATGAGGTTCCTTCCAGCTCTAAAATCTCTGATCTAACTCCTGTTCAATTCTGAAATTATATGTGATTTTCATCAACACTTTTTATAAATACATGCTCATAATTTTTTCAAATGAAACAAAGCAAGAGATAGTTAATATAGAAGATGACAAAAGCAGGACTTAAAAGAATTTAAATAAGACTAGTCATGGGGGTTCAAACCAACAAGACAAAGTTCAACAGTAATAAATGTAAAGTCCTACATCAAAAGGGTCAATTCTATTAGTACAATAAATAAAGAGACCTGGATTGAAGGCAGTTTATTTGAAAAGGTAACTCAAAGTTTAAGTTGGCAATTCAGGATGAACCCAGAATGTGACACTAACAAAGCTAATGCAAACCCAGACTGGAATAATGGTAGTGTGGTATCTCTATCCCAGGACATAATAGGCTCATTGTAGTATCTGCTGATAAGCAAACAGTACAACAACGGTACCGGATTCAGTTTTGATGGTTACACAGAGAAAATGCTCAATTTGGTGTCAGTCACCTTAACTAAGTCACTTAAATATCCTTGGTCCTCAGTTTCCTCATCTGTTTAAAAAAAGGGGGGAAGAGACAGTTTGGAACAAATGACTGCTAAGTTTCTTCTGGGACTAACATCTATCACTTTTTTTTTTAATTTTAGGCAATTGGGGTTAAGTGACTTGCCCAGGGTCACACAGATAGTTAAGTGTCTAGTGTCTTGGTCTGAGGCCGGATTTAAACTCAGGTCCTCCTGACTTCAGGGCCAGTGCTCTATCCACTGCGCCACCTAGCTGCCCCCGTCTATGACTTTATAAGCATACTAGAGAACAGAGAGAGGGAACCAAGCAGACTTATAATAGGTATAGAACAGGTATATAACTAGGGCTGTTTCACCTAGAAGAAAGAATATAGGAGAAGAGAGGGAGTTTGGTATATAAGAGCCATTTTTAATCATCTGAAATGCTAACATATGGAAAGGTGAATGGGCTTTTTTCTATGCTGCTCAAGACAGCAAAACTAGGATACGGAGAAGTGTGAATTCTGGTCAGTGCTGTATTTGTTAACTATTTGTGTGAACTTGGGCAATTTGCAACTTCTCTAAGATTCAGTTTTCTTATTCAGAAAATGGGAAGGTTGTATTAGAGGACCTAATGCAGCTCTTTGACTGAATCTAAGCGTCACAGAACAAATCCCCTTAATAAAAGGATTTGTACGGTAAAACTTGAATTCAGTCAAAAGGCCACACCCAAGGACCTAGAAGGCCCCATGTGGCCTTCAGGCCACAGGTTCCCCACCCCTGACCTAGTTCCTGGCAGCCAGGAAGCAGATAGAACACTGGACCTGAAATCAGGAAAACCTGAGTTCAAACTTGGCTTTGGAGATTTACTAGCAGCATTGTCAGCTTTTTTAGGACTTACAAAGAAACAGAGCAGTTAACTTCCCAAGGCTAGACATATTCAAGACCAGTCAGACCAGTTATCCATCAAAAAACCTCTGGAAGGGGGAGGTTCCAAGTCAGCTAAGCTCCTCACAAGTCCTTGAAAAATAACAAATACACACACAAAAACAAACGGGATTAAAAAGAGCAATTAAACCAGCTAAAGTACCAGAAATAATGGAGATAAAAGAGAAGCCATATAACATATCCCAAAATGTGTTCCATCAACTAAAGAGTATATTCAAGCAAATTAAGAAATAGCACTAAGAAAGTCACATGGTCAAATAAGAGACTAAAGAGAAAACAATCTGGGAGAAAACCAACCAAAATTTTAAAATGCTGAAAAAATTGGGAAGAAATGAGACTGTAATAAAAAGCTTCAACAGAATTAACTGATTCATAAAATAGAATGACAGTTAATGAAGATCAATTACAAGAAACACAGGCACAGAAAAATTACTGAATTAGCAAGATTATTAACAATATACAGAAGTGATGGACCTGGAAGATAGCTCAAACACAACAATCAAAGATTGCTGACATCCCAAAAAATTAGGAAGAAACCAACAAAACATTCCGTACAAGAAAATAAGCCACAGTAGAGGAACCTGAGGTCCAAAGAAATTAAGAATACACAAAGAGTACAGAGGATCCTGAAAACGAAGAATACAAGATTCAGTACTCCTGCATACATTATTAGCCTCCAAGATAACAACATAAATAAAGAAGAATGAGGAAAAGGGAAAATGAGAGAAATGAGAAAAAAACAATGTACAAAAGTGAGAAGCATAAGTTATAAATACACAAGTACCTACCCAGCAAAACTCACTATCCTGTTTCAAGGCAAGAAAGGCACATTTGAAAAGTAACCTTGAAAAAAGCTTGCAGGAAGACATCTATTTCGAGGAAGTTTCCCAACATCAGCCAAAAACATAAGTAGTTAACATAATACAAACCAGCTATTATCAACGTGAGAATCTTCAGAACACTGTACTGATCAAATCACTATCTATTAGAAAAGTTTCAAAGAAACAAGAAAAAGAAGGAAAAAAACTCCAAGTAGCATTAGAAGAGTGGTAACAACCAAAGCTTATCTCCCGTCCCTTGATAAAAGGGAAGTTCAAGGTAAAGGATGGTCCGAACATTTTGGAGACAACTTGGCAGCACACAAAAAGTCACAAGACTGATCTCCCTTTTGATCCACAGATTCATTTACTAAGATTTTACCCTACAAATATCACAGAAGGGGGTATTTTTTTTGGAAGTTGTATGTGGCAGCAGTTTGTAGGTAGAATTACTAAAATGGGGAAGAAATTGGAGCCAGATAGATCACTAAGAAGACTACTGCAGTAACCCATCATGAATTAGGGCAGCTAGGGGGCAGAGCTCAGGAAGACCTGAGCTCACATTCGGCCTCAGCCACTTACTGTGTGACCCTGGGCAAGTCACTTCACCCTGTTTGCTTCAATTTCCTCATCTGTCAAATGAGCTGGAGAAGGAAATGACAAACCACTCCAGGATCTCTGCCAAGAAAACCCCAAAAGGGTTTGAAGAGTGGGACGTGAGTGAAAAATGATTAAACAACAACAATCTTAAAATAAGGTGGTTGCACTGAAAATGAATGAGGTATGTGAGAGAGGTTTTGAATAGAGAGAAGACTTGGTTACTAATTAGCTATGAGGGAACTGAAAGAGGAAAAGTATAAACATGATTCCAAGTTTTGAGCTGGAATTACTGGGAAAATATGTTGCCATTCACAGAAACAGAGGAGTTAGCAGGAGAGCTTGTTTGGGGGAGTTAGGATTCTGACACATTCATGGGACACCAAAGGCAAAATCATCCATTAGGCAACTGGAGAGGCAGTACTAGAACTTAGGAGAAAGGTAAAAGGCACCTCTGTGCACAGCTGAACACCTGGAATCACTGGAGTTCTCTGCAGGACAGATTACGGAGTTGATAGTCGAAGCCATCTTTATAAATAGATATTATCAGGAGATATGTGTTCCAAAAGCTAATTTTCCATAGGAGTTTAAAACATTGATTTTAATCATTTCTGATGGAACATTTTAGAAAACATACTACCACAGATATCAATGATACCACTACATGACACACACCCCAAGAATGTCAAAATGTCCTTATAGTCATGCTGTTTACAGAAACAAAGAACTGGAAAGAAAGAGGGTGACCCACCAATTGGGGAATATTGGAAAAATTATAGCATATATAGAATATTACTAAACCATAGGAAATAGCAAACATGAAGATTTCTGAGAAACTTAGGAAGCCTTATATGAACCAACACACAGCAGAACCAGAAAATTTTGCAGGATGACCACAAAAAGCAAAAACAGTGAAAGACTTCATTGCTCTGATCAGTGCAGTGACCAACTGAGATTTCCAAGGACTAGTGGTGACACATGACATCCTGCTTATCAGAGAGGTGGCAGCATATAGGTGTAGAAAGAGAAGACCACAGGCAATGTGTTCATTTCCTTCACTGTACTTCTTTGTTTCAAGGGACAGTTTTGTTTGAGGAATCACTGTGAGCTCTTTGAGAACAGGCCCTGTTTCTTGCCTTTCTTTGTATCCCTCAAGCTTAAGCATAGTGTCTGGCATAAAGTAGGCACTTAATAAATTGCAAAGCGATTTACTGGGAAGTGACAGCAAAGTAAAAAATATCAATAAAGCACTTTGCCACATAGCCTATCTTAAATTCCTTCCACTTCTTCATACTAAATGAACTTTAGCTTTCCACTGAGATTTGGATATTTCTGATTGCCCCTTCTGACACGGCTCTTTCCATAACTTTCTCTCAGCTTTCTAACCCTTTCACCCAGTTAGAAATTTCAAAATCCATACCAATAATCGCTGGTCTGGGCCAGTGATTTCACTGGTATATGTTGTTCCCAGTGAGGAAACTCCTTCACCTAATGCGCGTTGGACATTTGCCTAGGATCACAAAGCCAGAAGGTGTCAGAAGCAGGACTTTAAGATTCCCCTGTCCTATCTACTATAAGCTGCCTTCTCAACTCAATTAAATAAAAGGTGTTAAATACTCACTATGTGTTTTTCTTTGGTGGCAGAGACTGGTGAAGAGGGTGGAGTAGGAAGATGTAGTGCAGTCTATCTCTCTCCAGCCAAGATAGAGGTTCCCAAAGTGGGGGCACTGGAATGATCCAAGGAGAGCAGTAGTAGCCTCTGTGGTGCGCTGTGATAACAGTACGACAGGGAAGAAGGTAAACGAGAATCACAGTGTTTTAGACCATCGATACTTTGACTATTAGTGCTCTAAAAGTGCAACCTTTGCTCACTGACCGACAAGGGGACACTGCTAGACAAGCTATATCACATCAGCAAGTTTCAGTTAAATAGAAGGTCTTTTCCAGGCTCAGCTCAAGTGCCTGGAAGAAAGGATCTTGGGATTACTGCAGACCGATTTTAGAGAACAGCCTGAGACTCCTATATCCTTCTTTGACTTTGTGACTGATCTGGATTCTTTTGCCGGAACTGTGGAAAATATTTTCCATGTTTCCTTCATTGTAAGGGATGGTTTTGCAAGAATAAGGCTTGACCAAGATAAACCGCCAATAATAGAGTCCGTTACCCAGGGTAATGAGGAAAGCAAACACCAAAGTACCCAAATCAGGCACCAAGACATCCTATCACTGAGTTATCAAGAGTGGAAGGACATCGTGAGAACTTTTGACATTTCACGGCCTATGATCCCTCCTATGTGCTGTAGCAAGTAAAATCCAAACCTTCAAAGGTGTCCCAAATGAAAACTGGCACCTCAGGTGGAAAGAAGCATGTATCATTTACTGGATTATGAAATGTGTTTTTCAGAGAATCAGATGTTTAGTTTTTTTGCTTATATTTTGTATTATTGTTTATGAAGCTGCCTTGCTTTCCTATGATTAAAGAGATTCACTGCCATATCTGTTTAAAAAAAAAACACCTGAAATCATTTACACTAGATGTGTGTTCTTGGGCAAGTCACTTAACCTCTACTGCCTCACCAACAACAAAAAAAAAATAACAAACTGAAATTATTTACACTAGTTGTGTAACCCTGGGCATATCACTTACCCCCACTGCCTCACCAAAAAAAAAAAGTGATAATCTTTTGTAGGTATAGAAACACTTCTTTCTCTTAGATGAATTCATTCAAAATAGAGGCAAACTCAGTGTAGTAGATAGGGTGCTAGAAGTGGAGTCAGGAAAACCTAGTTCAACCATGCCTCTAACAATACAGGCAAGTTACCTTACTAGAGGTTTATTATTTCACATATAAAATCTGGATAACATCTGTAGTGTCTAGTTCACACAGGCTCAAATCAGATAATATAAAGAACTCCCCAAACATTTAAGCACTCTTTTGTTCCTCCATCATTTCGGTCAAGTCCAGCTTTTCATGACAGTGGTTCAGCATTTTCTTCTCCAGCTCATTTTACACATGAGAATACTGAGGCAAAGAGTTAAGTGACTTGCCCAGGGTCACACAGCTAGTAAGTGTCAGAGGCCAGATTTGAACTCAAGAAGATGGGTCTTCCTGACTCCAGGTTTGGCGCTCCATCCGCTGAACAACCTAGCTGCCACTACATAAGCACTATATCAGCATCAATTACTATTTGTGAGGTGAAGAAAAACGAAAACACTTCACTTTTCTTTTCTAGTCTATCAATAAAAAAACCCCAAAAACAATATTTTCTTCAAGACGAACACTCAACTCTCACTCTTCCTCCTCTCACACACCTAATCCATTTCTAAGTCTTGTCAATCAGAACTCCACAATATCTGACCCCTTCTGTCGACTCACTCCAGGACCTTCTAGACAACAGTCGTAATGACAGGTGGAAGAGCCTCAAATCTCTTTCCACTCCAATCCGTCCTTCACAAAGCGGCCAAAACAATTTTCTCCAAAGGCACAGCTATTTCAATCCCCTACTCAATAAACTCCCATGCCTCCCTATTACCTCTAGGATTAAATACAAACTCTGGCTTGTCATTTACCCTTCATAATTTGGCTCAACCTACCTTTCTAGCTATTTTTTTTATACCTTATCCTTCTTTCCCACTCTGGTCCAGCCAAACCGTCCCTCCCATCTGCATCTTTGCACACACTCTACCCATACATAGAATATACTCCTTCTGCCTTAATCAAGTTCCTTATTTCCTTCAAGATTCTGCTCAAAAACTACTCTTTTTCTACAAGAGCCAGCCAGCCCTTAAAAAGCGGAGGCACGAGCACGTGTGCACACGCAGGCACCCGCCTCAACAAGCATAGCACTTGGAGGCTGATTTAGTGTGGGGACGGACAGACCCTTAAGAGTGCCGAAGTCAAGATTTAAGTTCGCAGCCTGGAGTCATTAAGAATACATTGTGTCCAACACGCTCAGATTTAAAAATATTCATTTTGGCACCTGAAAGTATCTGCGATACCTCGTCCACTGAACACACGGGAGGAATGCCGTCACCACGTCCAGGCCGGCATTCGGTTCTGATCCCCAGTCTGGGTTGGGACAGCCCCAGCCTCTCAACCTTCCGTGTGTCTCGGACCCCTCGGCAGTCTGGCCTTTTAAACCAAGGCTAGCACAGCGCCTCGCACACAGCAGGGGTTTCATTCGCCTCTTTGTGTCCCAGGTCCCTCCGGCAATCTGGTGGAGCCTGTGGGCCCCTCCCCGAAATAATCTTTTTAGATGCATTAAAATAAGAAAGGGAACCAATTACGTTGGTTATCTAAATATTAAAAAAAATAAGAAATTCACAAACCGCAGCTTAAGAAGCCATGGCTAGAAAGCAGCTAGGAGGAGCACTGGACAAAGTACTGGGCTGCGAGTCTGGAAAACCAGAGTTCAAATCCCGCCTTGGACACCCTCGCCGGGTGGCCCTGAGCAAGCTACTAAGCCTCCATCGGCCACAGTTTCTTCATCTGTAAAATGGAGCTGATAACGGCACCAATCTCGCAGCGCTAGGACAAAATGCGATTCGTACGGTGCTTTGCAAACCTCAAAGCGCTATATAAATGCTAACTATGATCACTGCGGTAAACCATTACAGGCAGATGGGAAGCTTCCCCGAATTAAAAACAAAAACCCATTTAAAGACATTAAAGCTCCACGTTAATCCCCGCCCCGCCCCCATGAACGGTCTCCTTGTAGGTCCCAGGAGGCCCGCTGGGTGTCACCGAGTCCCTCTGAGAGCAGCAAGCACAAGTAATGCACTAACTCACCCGCATTCGCTCCAGGGTCAAGGTGCAAGAAGGTCGTGGTCTGACCTCAAGGCATTCGATGCACTTCCTTTCTGTGACCTCAGCTTCCTCACGGAAGTGGAGTTTCCTCCCCGCAGGGCGCCGGGGGCTTGCCCCTTTGCCCAAGCGCGCACGCTGCCGCTTTATTTCCCTGGGTCCCAGGGATCAATGGCCGCTCCCAGAAGCCTCTGCGCGTCCGCAGTCCAGCCCTCCCGCTCGCCCTCGCAGCCTGTTCAGATCACTTCGGAGGAAACCTAGGCGCCCAACTAACAATCACGTGGACAGCAGCGGCCCGCGGAGTTTCGAAGGAAGCCAAAGCCCCGCCCTCTTCCTTAATTACCTCTGTCATTGCTAAGGTTGCGCTTCTCCCATTGGGTAGACCAAGAGAGGAAGCCCGAAAGGGATTGGCCAAGGAGAGATAGGGGGCGGAGCAAGAGAGAGTCGGCTGAAGGCGGAAGAAGCTGGTGGCCGGTCTAAAGATGGCTAGGGCTAGGGTGAACCAGGCGGCTGCGTAGCTAAGATCTTCCCACCTCCTCACGTCCATTACGTCAACTGAAACATCCACAACTGGATTGCTTTAAGAAGGCGTCGAGGCTGTGCGTGCAAGGAGCCGCAATGTTGTGGACGCCCCCTGGTGGCTGCTGGCTGTCCTCGCTGGAAAGCTTCTCTTGCGCTCTCACCCACGCTCCTGGGAGCTTTGTGCGCAGAGAAAGGCGATTCCAGCCATGTACATAGGCTTCTTTTTTTGCCTTTATTTTTTTTAGTTAAAACATTTTTCATAGCATCTTAAAAAGTTATGAACTTAACAAACAGGAAGGTTTCCTTATACAAAAGGGGAAAGAGAATGTATGAGCCGTGAATATATTACAAGCTTTTTATTTTGACGTATATTTTAAATTTGACACACCTATCGACAATGCAGGACAGCTAGTCGGTGCAGCAGATAGAGTGCTGGTCCTGAAGTCAGAAAGACTCATCTTTCTGAGTTCAAATGTGGCCTCAGACACTTACTAGCTACGTTGTGATTGTGTTTGTCCTTCTTTCTGGAAGAGCACCATGACATCAGGAAGATGATGTCCTGCCTTGGAATCGAATTGGATTTAAGTGAGGGAGGGCTGTGCAGAGGCACTAGACTCACTTTCTCCTCTGGAGCCAACTGGGTCTAGGGGCCAGATATAGATCAGAAGGACCAAGGATGGCCCAGGATGCAGTAGGAGACCTAGGCCTTTTTAAGCTAAGGTCTTTCAGAATTCTCACTTTGAGTGAGAATCATCCGTTCTGTGATTAGGTGTGTTTAAGAAGTGACTGAAGAGATGCCCCCTTTAATTAAAAAAAAAAAATCAAACTGGGAGGGGAAGATCCTCAGCGTTGCTGGCTGAAAGAGCTAGCCATGTGACCCTGGGCAGATCACTTAAACCTGTTTGTCTCAGTTTCCTCATCTGTAAAATGAGCTGGAGAAGGAAATGGCTGAGCACTCCAGTATCTTTGCCAAGAAAACCCCATGAAGAGTCCGACACATGCGTGAACAGCAAACTGAAGTCAACACTTCCTGGATTGTGCTTTGTGTGTCTCTGTCAACAAACATTTTAAAGTGCCTACTATGCTAAGAGCTGTGACCACAAAAAATAGCCAAAAAAAAAAACCCTTGCTCTCAAAAAACTCAGTGTGCCTGCTCATTTCTTATAGCACAATAGTATTCCATTACATTCATATACCACAACTTGTTCAGCCATTCCCCAATTGATGGGCATCCCCTCAATTTCCAATTCTTTGCCACCAAAAAAGAGCTGATATAAATAGTTTTATACATATGGGTCTTTTTCCCATTTTTTATGATCTCTAGGAGTGGTATTGCTGGGTCAAAAGGTATGCACAATTTTATAGCCTTTTGGGCATAGTTCCAAATTGCTCTCCAAATGGCTGGATCATTTCACAACTCCACCAATAATGTATTACTGTTCCAATTTTCCTACATCCTCTCCAACATTTATCATTTTCCTGTTTTGTCATGTTAGCCAATCTGATATGTGTGATGTAGTACCTCAGAGTCGTTTAGATTTGCATTTCTCTAATCAATAGTGATTTAGAACATTTTTAAATATGCCTATGGATAGCTTTGGTTTCTTCCTCTGAGAACTGCCTGTTCATATCCTTTGATCATTTATCAATTGGGGAATGACTTATATTCTTATAAATTTGACTCAGTTCTTTATTTTAGAAAGGAGGCTTTTATCAGAGACACCGGTTGTAAAAATTCTTTCCCAGTTTTCTGCTTCCCTCCTAATCTTGGATGCATTGGCTTTATTTGTGCAAAAACTTCAATTTAATGTAATCAAAATTGTCCATTTTGCATTTCACAATGTTCTCTATCTCTTGTTTGGTCATAAATTCTTACCTTCTCCATAGATCTGAAAGGTAAACTATTCTTTGCTCTTCTAGTTTGCTTATAGTATCAGTCTTTACATCTAAATCAAGTATCCATTTTTTACTTTATTTTGGTATAGAGTGTAAGATGTTGGTCTGTGCCCAGTTTCTGCCATACATTTTTTCTATTTTCCCAGTAGTTTTTGCTAAATAGTGATTTCTTATCCCAGAAGCTGGAGTCTTTGGATTTATCAAATAGTAGATTAGTATAGTCATTGACTGTTGTGTCTTGCATACCTAACCTATTCCACTGATCCCCAACTCTATTTCGTAGCCAGTACCAAGTAGTTTTGATCATTGCTGCTTTATAATACAATTTAAGATCAGGTACAGCTAGGCCACCTTTGCTTGCATTTCTTTTCATTAGTTCCTTTGATGTTCTGGACTTTTTGTTCTTCCAGATGAATTTTGTTATTGTTTTTTCTAGCTCTATAAATTAATTTTTTGGTAGCTTGATTGGTATGACACTGAATAAGTAAATTAATTTAGGTAGAATTGTCATTTTTATTATATTAGCTTGGCCTACCCATGAGCAACTGATCTTTTTCCAGTTATTTAGATCTGACTTTATTTGTGTGAAAAGTGTTTTGTAATTGTGTTCATATAGTTCTTAGTTTTGTTTTGGCAGGTAGACTCCCAAATATTTTATAGTGTCTACAGTAATTTTAAATGGAATTTCTCTTTCTACCTTTTGCTGCTGGGCTTTGTTAGTAATATAGAGAAATGCTGATGATTTGTATGGGTTTATTTTATATCCTGCAACTTTGCTAAATTTATTATTTCAAGTAATTTTTTACTTGATTCTCTAGATATATCATCATATCACCTGCAAAGAGTGATAACTTTGTTTCTTCTTTGCCTATTTTAATTCCTTCAATTTCTTTTTCTTCTCTAATTGCTACAGCTAACATTTCTAGCACAATATTGAATAACAGTGGTGATAAAGGACATCCTTGTTTCACCCATCTTACTGGAAATGCTTCTAGTTTATCCCCATTGCACATAATGCTGGCTGGTGGTTTTTGATAGATGCTATCTATCATTTTAAGGAAGACTCCATTTATTTCTATGCTCTCTAGTGTTAATACGAATGGGTGTTGTATTTTGTCAAATGCTTTTTCTGCATCTATTGAGATAATCATATGGTTTCTTTTAGTTTTGTTGTTGATATGGTCAACTATGCTGATAGTTTTCTTCATACTGAACTAGCCCTGCATTCCTGGTATAAATCCTACCTGATCATAGTGTATTGTCCTCGAGATAAGTTGCTGTAATCTCTTTGCTAATATTTTATTGAAAATTTTTGCATCTATATTCATTAGGGAAATTGGTCTATAATTTTCTTTCTCTGTTTTGGCTCTTCCTGGTTTAGGTATCAGCATCATATTTGTATCATAAAAAGAGTTTGGTAGGACTCCTTCACTTATTTCCCCAAATAGTTTATATAATATTGGAATTAGTTGTTCTTTAAATGTTTGATAGAATTCACTTGTCAATCCATCTGGCCCTGGAGATTTTTTCTTAGGAAGTTCATTGATGGCTTGTTCAATTTATTTTTCTGAAATGGGGTTAAGTATTTGATTTCCTCTTCTGTTAATCTGAGCAATTTATATTTTTATAAATATTCATGTTTCACTAAGATTGTCAAATTTATTGGCATACAGTTGGGCAAAATAGCTCCTAATTATTGTTTTGATTTCCTCTTCATTAGTGGTGAATTCACTCTTTTCATTTTTTATGCTGGTAATTTGGTTTTTTTTTAAATCAAATTAACCAAAGGTTTATCTTTTTATTTATTTGGGGGGGGGTAGGCAATCAAGGTTAAGTGACTTGCCCATGGTCACACAACTAGTAAGTGTCAAATGTCTGAGGCTGGATTTGAACTCAGATCCTCCTGACTCCAAGGTCAGAGCTCTATCCACTGCACCACCTAGCTGCCCCAGGTTTATCTATTTTATTAGGTTTTTTTTTCCCCATAAAACCAGCTCTTAGTATTATTTAATAGTTCAATAGTTTTCTTAATTTCAATTTTATTAATCTCTCCTTTGGTTTTCAGAATTTCTAATTTGGCATATAATTGGGGATTTTCAGTTTGTTCTTTTTCTAGCTTTTTAGTTGCATGCCCAATTCTTTGATCTCTTCTTTCTCTATTTTATTCATATAAGCATTTAGAGATATAAAACTTCACCTAAGGATGCACTTTTGCTGCATCCCATAAGTTTTGGTATGTTGTCTCATCATTGTCTTTCTC